TGCAAAAGAGGTTGAGAGAGGCCCAATGTAGTTCCTGTGGTACTGGGAGGTAACGCAAGTCTGAGTGGAATTTAATGGGGTGGGGTTGGTGGTTTATTTTTAAGTTGTAGGTCAGTCGAAAGTTACTGGTTATGACAGCGTAGCCATAATTTAAATATGGTCATACTGATATCGTACAGTAACTTTCAGCATAACATATGATCGTTGTAGGGTCTACACGGGGAACATGATAGAGGTGCTGAAAGCCATAACTAAATATACTATATACCTGCTGAGTCCAATGACCTGAGGGTAGACATACCGGACACAATTGTCAGGAATATAGGCTTAGACCTGTGGAATGCAGTAGTGTCTGTACTGACACAAGACCATGAAGGTTATAACTATACAGATTAATCATTTACTCAGTCTTGTGTCTCTGGCCTTAAGGACCACTGAGAAATCGCCCTAGGTGTATGAACAATTCTCTGTGACATCCTGGGAGGCAATGAGAAGCGAGACGACATTAACGTCCTTGCCCTCCAGGATGTCCTTCGTGAGGTTTGCCGGCCCGTATGGGTTGGGGTAATGACTTGAGCCACTAAGATGATGGGCGTATTAGTATTACCTGTTTGGGAATGGGCAGGGCACGGAATATCGGTTGCAAGTGATTCTATGGTTGCAACTGGACAGCAATTTCTTCCAGTGTCTCTAGTCTATTGTTGATCTTCCCCATGGATGTTACTCCAGAGGCTATCCTGGTATGCAGGTGGCATTGCTCGTGCCACTTGTGCCTTCCCCGGGGCTGACTTGTTAGTATTGGCTTGCATTAGCCTGAATAGTTCTGCTTTGCTGGCAGTAGCTGTAAAGGGTATGTTGCCCTGTGTAATTCGGCCGTGATTCGTGGGATGGTCCATGATCTAATTGAAGATGGACTGCCGATGTCCCCTTTTTGTGTAGGGGTGGCATTCCTAGTTGGAGTACTTTGGAATAGAAATGTCATTCCTTCTACTGGAACTTGGGACACACCGAAATAAATATGTAGGAATCATGAGTTCCTTTTGAGGGTGTATACAGATGTTTTAACTAGTGCCGAAGTGGCAAAACAATTTGTTAGACTGGTGACCGGTGAGTCCCTACTGTTTGCCAAGCGGCTGGGTCAGCTCTACCTATGGTTGGCGCAAGGGGGTGATCTGCTGGATGTGGGCTTACAAGAGATGAGTTTTGATGTGAGGCATCTAGCTATGAATTTGGCCCGTGGGGCCTT